GAGTGATTGCGCTCGAGTTAATTGTTGTGGTGTCCGAACTAATTCATGCCAAAGAGGAGATCAAGATGGCACAACAAGGAGATATTGCTCCCACACAATAACCCTAGACGACACTACTTGATTATTCAAATGTAAAGAGGTACTTAGAGCATTCGTTGAGTTCGTCGAACTCACGCTCGTTTTTCACTAAAAATGCATATAATCAAGCTAATTAATAAGAGGGGAGAGGTAAGGCAGTTTCATAAAGATTTGGTAATTGAAGCATTATAGCTTCCTTTTGTATGGAATAAAATAACGTAAGACTTAATCATTGGGAACTAGAATCAATATATGCTATAGGTTAAAATTGAGGACTTGAACTGTTTTAATATTATATGGTTTGATTTCCACGTTTGAAAAGAGTTGATGGTGATGCATATTTGTTCATGGTTGCTAGTAGTCTTAGAAAGCATGAAGTAGGTCTAAAAGTGGTTAAATGGCTAGTTAGTTTAAGCTGGAGATTTAGGCCATCAATTGAAGTAGTATAGCATGATCGTGTGTTTTGAGTGGTGCACATGCTTGTTGAGTGTGCTAAATTGTATGTTCCATAAGTTGAAGGTTCAAATGCTATGTTCATGTTGTTTTCTTAGTTTGGACAAGTTCTAAAGTAAGAAATAGGCGTGTTAGACTTGTCGATAAGGTAAAAATAATCATATATATTTAAAATAAGGGTATGAATTACTAAAAAAATGAAAAATTACATGAAACGATATTCAAGAGTTTAAATTTTGATCATAAAAGTGTGTTTTTATATATGAAATGTTTTCATGATTCATTATGAGCATGCTGAAGATGTTTGGGTATTATTTGAGGGTGATTAAGTTCATCAAAATATTAAATCTGCAGTTTTGATACAATAGATTTTGAAATCTTTATGAATAGTTTCAAAATTAGTTAGGACAGATGACTGTCAGATTTTGGAACTCTTGACAAAAGTTTCAAAACCCAAATTCATGATAACCTGATTTGAAATTTTTAATGAGTTTTAATTCTTTACAAATTGGTCCTAAAGTTTCAAAATGTAATTAAATGATGGTTTTTAGTTTAGAATCACTTGAAATTTGACATGGACCTTGAAATGCATTGAATTTTAATTGGGAACTATTTAATTTGAATTTTCAACAAGTATAAAAATATTTTATTTTACAATTTAATCCCTAAAAGGTATTTTTTTTTCAAATTCAAGACGCTGTTGAACTCCGATTGAGTTGGGATTTAGCATAATGCTAATTTAAATGATTCATAATTTGTGTGATTTTGGCATGATTCCCGAGTATATTGTGAAAAGATGAAAAGAACCCTATGTATGTTTTCAATTGTCCGACTAAATTTTCAAGCAAGCTTTTGGTTGGTTTCTCGTGTACTGTTTGAGATGTTTTCGTCGCAAGATAAGTATGTATTTAATTTCAAAATTTTGTATATCCAAGTTCTTAAATATCCCTAAATTGAGTATGTGAATATGGGTCACCCCTTAATCCAATAATAATAATAATAATATAATATTATATTATATTATATTATTATTATGGGTCACTCTGATAATTAGTATAGCATATTTTAGTTAATTCATTTCAACTTGATATTAAATGTTACATCTCTAAAAGTTAAAAAGAAAAACAACACAATAAATTACATTTTATGAGTCAGATCGTTGAGTGTCAATTTGATAATTGGTTTTGATTGTAAAATTATTTTAGTTTTATACAAAATTTTTATTGTTAAATGAGTGAAAATAAATGACGATTTAAATAGTTAGAAATGAGAATTTATTCATTTGGGGAAAAATAAGGAGTAAATCCTAGTTATTTATTTTCACTCATCCAACTGTAAAAAAATCTATGTAAAATTAAAATAGTTTTACACTGTGTAAGTAAATCCTATATATATATATATGAGTTTTGAACTAAATTCTCTTTTTCCTTCAAAAGTAAAAAAAATAAAAATAATAATTATATATTTTTTGATTAATATGAAGTAAATACAAGATAATTTGTTAAATTCATGATACTCAAATATAAATTTTTTAAAAATAATAATAATTCTTTTACCATCAAAATTATTTAATTCATTCATGATAATTATATTTGATCCTAGAAGACGAGTGTCTTTCTCTTTTGGATTTTGAATTTAAATAATTATATTTATAGGAGTGTGTAAATCGTTAATAATTAAAAAAGAATATGAATAAATATTATCTTATAATTCTCACGTACTATTAGTAAAATTACTTTTATTTGTTTTCTTTAATGACATTGACCTTGGCGTGAAGAAAGAAAGGGGAAATAGGAAAGCGAGGTTAAAGAAATGAGGTATGCGGTATTTTTTTTAATAGTTTGAGATGATTATAATGTAATATTTGTTTAAATTTTTTAATCTATTAACAAATGCACATATTCTGTAGACGTAACCTAACACCTCTAGAAAGAACTATATTATCTTTATTATGAGATCACTTAATGTGTCAAGATACATTATGTTTATTTAATTTAAAATATTATAAAAATATATATTATTTTAGTTATTATAATTTTGAATATTTTTCTTTTTAATAATAGTAGTGATTTATATAAAAGAAAAACAAAGAATGAGCTGATAAACTACCACTTAGTTGCTCTTGATGTATGTTTACCTGTCCTTTTTTTCATAGTTTGCCATAGGCTCTACTTATTCAATTTAATTTAAAACAATAACAAACTGAATTAATTTTGTATATCATATAAGTAAATAATTCAAAAAAAAGTAAAATGAAGTCAATCTACAAATTGACATGTCAACAATATTAAAAATTCAATATTGTAGTTTGCATTTTCATTTAAAAATCAACGATTCAGTTCTTATTGAAAGATTAAAGGAGAAAATCAATTTTAAAGGTAGAAAATCAAATTTAATTAAAATAAAATAAAATCCTAAACTGATAAATAATAGGGTAAAATATACAAATGGGAATGCTATTTTATTGAGTCTCTTGACTATTAAAAGTTACAAAATGATCCTCCTATGGGGAGTAACTTTGTTGAGTTTCTCGACTATTAAAAGTTTCAAAATAGTCATCCAACTATTCATTATGTTCTAAACTCGTCCTCTATTAAAAAATTAACGGAAATCTGAGATGAACGTTAACATGTTGATTAAGATACGATAAAATATGATTTCATAACTCGAACGACTATGATATCTTAATCAACAGGCTAACGTCCAGCTGAGACGACCGTTAATTTTTTAACGGGAAAGGACGACTTTTGTACATAATGTATAGTCGAGTGACCATTTTGTAACTGTTAATAGTCGAGGGACTCAACAAAGTAATATTATATAGTCGAGGGATCATTTTTGTACTTTACCCTAAATAATATAAACCTTGAGATCTAAATTTAATATTATGTCTTGAAATTTTAAATTATTTAAATCTCAAGATCTTTTTCCTTTTTTATTTAATTTTCTTTACAAAAAGCAACACAATTGATTGAGATAATCATTTTAGAACTTTATTTAGGAATCACATGTAACATATTGGAAATATTAGGCTATAAAAGCAAATTGGCAATACATGCTGAACTCCCTGTTGTATCTTATTTTTAATTATTATTATTTTTCTTGTGATTCCCACTTATATAAAACGTTGTAAGAGTACAAACCCTCGTCTTTTTACTATTTCACTTGAATGAAATATGCCTAATTTTCGTAGTAGTATTTGAACTAATCCACAATAAAAAGCGACAAAGGAAGTCGGTAATAGAAATTGTGGATTGTAGAAGAGGTCAAGGTGAGATTTTTTCTAACCATTGGCTTTTAATTTATTTATTGACTAAATCCAGATAAGATATTACATAGATTCATTAGGAAAGCGATCATCCTAACTTAATTTTTCACATTCAAAATATCATGATTCAAATCTCTGACTTTACTTAAAGGATCTAGTATCGAATCTAATTTTCAATGATTGACCTTAGTGGTGTATGTATATTTACTTGTTGGCCTTAATGGCGTGAGTTTACTTATTAGCGTTAGTGACGATCGATTATCTACATATATTATATATCTCCTTATGCAACCTTAGTGACAAATGAAATATTATATATATATATATGGCCATATGGGCGATTGAATATCTTTATGAATAACTTGGTGAAGAATTATGAATACATGTGTGTGTGTACATATATACTTATATATCTATCCGGATATTTGTGATATATGCTTGACGTTAAGATGAGATTGAAAGATGTTATTATATTATCACGATCACGTGATTGTGTGTATCGACTTGTTGACAAATAATGATGGACTTATAGCCAATCTCCTTTCCTGCCATCTTGAAGTTGGTCGCTTTTTGTAGTTTTGACTTATTTTTGGGTTGTCTCGATTCAAAAAAATATTTATTTTTGGAATTTAAGGCAGTACCAAACTCTACAACTACAAGATTAGCCTTTAAAGGAAATTGACTATTTGAAACCTTATCTATCAGGCGATTAACCTCCTCAATATTCATGTGTTCAACCTATTCCACTAAAGAAATCTCAGGGTTTAAATGAACATGCAAAGGTTCTCAAGTCCGAACATGGTATCATCATTCACCTCGAAGCTAAGGGATCTTGTTTGCTTTTCTTTTGGGGTTCGCCATGGAAGCAAAGCTTGTTTCTTGTGGAGTCTGTGTCTCTAGTTTGTCAGAAAGTTACGTGAGACCTAAATTCTTACGTTTCCGATTGGTCGAAATGCGAAAAGGTCCCCGTCATCGACATGGGGTGTGAGGACAGGAGCCATATCGTACAACAAATATTTTTTGTTCTACACATGCATCAAGACATAACTTTCTTATTTGTGACGAGCATATAACATGGACAAATTCAAACCTTTTTGAGGAACTCCATGATGTATATGCCGAAAGCGCTGCATTTGACTCGAAAACCCTGCAAACCTTGTCAAGGCCTCAATTTTTTTTTTCAATCCTATCTTTTCCACTAGGATTGTGAGCCAACATGATGCAATCGATATGGAGAACTAACTTAGTAGGGAGGCTAGGATCAGGGTAATCTGAAGAATGGATTCTGCAACAATTACTTTTCCCTGGTCTCGCAAAGCTTCATAGCACTTGTTCAAAAATTTCAAGCAGTGCTCATCGCTCCAGTCTTGACATATCCATTGCATCGGTAAAAATCATGGTCGATGAGGCAAGTAAAAATTGTGGAATAGGGAAAAACAAAGTTTAGTTTTCAGTCGAGTCGAACTCACCTTCATGAAACTAGCGTCTCCTTTAGGAACACTTTGAAACATGTCTCCACCAACATGCTCCACACCTACAGAAAAAAACACATACCATTTCATTAGCTAATGCTTATTTACCAATTTGAAGTTGTCCAGAAATTGTCATATCAGGATAAGTCGGAGCATCCTCAATGACATGAGGCAAATCAAAGTTAATGTCCTTTATGGAAGGGTGTTTGGTGATGATCATATTAAACGTGGCTTTGGTACCACCACCGACATCGATCAGTGTTTTGAGTTCCTCAAAGCCATCATAGTTCTCAAGAATCTTCTTCATTGTACTGGTTTAATGATCAGACATTCCCCTATTGAAGATCTTGTTGAATCTAGGATCCGTTCCATGGTACTCAAATGTTGTCATACCATAGACTTTATTGAAGGAAATTTCACCTTCCAGCACTTCATTTTTTAAGTAATACCTGCAAAATACCCAACATGAGAACCTTGTTTATCAAGTCTATCATCCTTTTGGAGCTACTTACCAGCTTTCCATGAGAATCTTGTCTTGGTTCATGAGATTGAGAGCAGATAGAGAGACGCCATCGTGATTATTGGTTAAGAATTTGTAGATATGGCCTAGACCATAGAGTCTTTCTACTTTATCAATGGGAAGAATACACTGGGGGCAAGTGAAAATGGTGTCTTTCTACGATTTGTATAAATTTATTATCATAGTAATATAAATATATTTTGATTATTTTTCTTATACTTATTCATATTAATTACATAAAATAATCTATTTTATAACAATAAATTGCTAGAAAAATGGATTTTTATTGTAAAAAGTAAGATTGGGTCTCTAATTAGTGGAAATGGATTTTTATTGCAAGAAATTGAGGAGAAAATTTCATGAAAAAAACAACCGAAAAATTCATTATTATAACAATTTAATAATTATATTTTAACTCTTGAAAATGTATGATCCAAAAAGTAATAGGAATATAGTTAAGGGATCCATAATGTATTTTACCCATATATATTGATTCTCCAATTCAAAGGTTTTCCTAGGGTTTTACCTCTGGCTTGAACTTGGGAAAGAAAAGAGAAAGAAAAACCAGTCAATTCTTGTAAAATCCGAAATGGCTAAGATGTGGAGAGCGGGTTCCCTGAACAACGCCGTTAGAACTCTTCGATATCTCCAGGAATCCTCCTTCTCAACCGCCGTTATCCGCCAGCATTCTTATCCAGCTCCGCCGTTCGCCACCACCGTCCGCCATCTTCGTACCGGTCGGGATCCTAGCTTCAGGTGGTTTACTATTTTTATATTTATAGTATACTTTATTCTAGACCCTCCGAAGATGATTTCACATCTCATTTCTAGCTTTTTTGGGTTAAATTTCAAGGTACGAGGCTTCACCTCCAGTCAATTGGGGCATTCGCATCGTACCGGAGAAGAAAGCTTACTTGATAGAAAGATTCGGGAAATACTTGAAAACGCTGCCCTCTGGGATACATTTCCTTATCCCATTGGTAGATCGAATTGCCTACGTTCATTCCCTCAAGGAAGAAGCCATTCCTATCCCGGACCAATCCGCTATTACCAAGGACAATGTCAGCATTCTCATCGATGGTGTTCTTTATGTCAAGGTATTTCATTTTAACCCGCCTCTTTGCTCAACTTGAAAAATCTTTGCTCTAAAATTAACTTTGAAACATTGCAGATTGTGGACCCACAACTTGCCTCTTATGGCGTTGAGAACCCAATCTATGCCGTCATTCAGCTTGCTCAAACTACCATGCGTAGCGAGCTTGGTAAAATTACCCTTGACAAGACCTTCGAGGAGAGGGACACTCTCAACGAGAAGATTGTGGTTCGTTTTCTTTCTTTGATTCCCCCTTAAAATTGTCTTATTACATGGATGAACCTGACACTCAATAATTCGATTTTATGGTAAAATTCTGGTTCAGATCAGTAAAAGGCTCAGTTGAAATAGATAAAGGCTCGCTACAAATCATTAGTCTCTTTAGTCGAGCTATAAATATGACTCTAACTTTGTACCAACAGTTTGGGAGGAGGCATTGTCAATAACTACTCTATTTTCAATTTGTTTACTTTCACTTGGAAATAAGAATGTCGGTTACACTTTGCTTAGTATAACATTTTATTCCTCTGATGGCTCCTACCAATGTTATCAAGTTGAAAATATAGCCTATATATCAACCCTATGTCAAACCTTGTTGTGCCTGTTATTGGCAAGTTTATGCTTGATATGTTATATTTCTTTTAGCTAGTTTATTAAATGTATTAATTATCAACTCACAATTGAATCTGGTTGTGCCAAGAAAGTTTAGAATTAGACAATATTATTCTCATACTCATATTGCACCATAAAAGTCTTAAATGTACCCTGCACCCTGTTCACGCTCTAGGAAAAAGATGATGATTCTTTGAAATTATGTAAGCATTACAGGAGGCCATCAACGTGGCTGCAAAAGACTGGGGCCTGCAATGTCTCCGTTATGAGATAAGTGAGTATGGTTCAGCAATACTTTGTTTTGACACTCTATTTTACCAATACTTCCTTTGTATATATTTCACTTCTTTGTCATCCCAGGGGATATATCTCCACCACGTGGTGTGAGGGCAGCTATGGAGATGCAAGCAGAAGCAGAGCGTAAAAAGAGAGCTCAGATTCTTGAATCTGAAGGTCTTGCATTAAGTTTAAATATTTATTTTCCCATTTAGTTTAACCTAGTGCTACTGCTTTCTGGCACCATACCATCTTATTTTAATAGTTGATTTTAGATGGTATGATTTATTCATAAAGGTTAATTCTAACAGGAGAGCGGCAGTCCAATATAAATATTGCTGATGGTAGGAAAAGTGCTGTGATTTTAGCATCTGAAGCTGCAAGAATGGATCAAGTTAACCGAGCACAAGGTTAGTGGTCATCAAGCTGCAAATAATCATTGTGTTAAGATGATAGGGCTTTGTATGAATTGTAATACAAGTTGATGCAGCTGATTAATTTTGATTATTCATTTATGCATATCATTATGAACTTTCCTCGTATGGACAACACAAACTAATTGTGATACCATCTGATTTTGTTATTGTTCTTGTCCTGTTTACTTACTTTTTTTCATGATTACATCTTCCTTCGATGTCTTCAAAATTTTCTTCTTAACAAACTCATTAATCAGGTGAAGCGGAAGCCATCCTTGCTAAAGCACAAGCTACAGCTAAAGGAATTGCCTTGGTGTCTCAGTCACTGAAGGAAAATGGGGGAGTGGAGGTGAGCTTCTTCCATCTTTCTCATTTCACGTGTACAAAATAAGTGCTAACATTTATGCAGTACAACCTGAAGCGCTATTAGAGGAAGATTTAAACAATATTTCCCAGACTACTTTTATAGCATCATGAATTTCCACATCTTAGAAGTTCATAAATGCATTGACTTGTGATAATACTTATAAATGTCAAATAGTCCATGCCTAAAAGATCCAATTAGTGTCATTCTTGTATAATGATTCAATACTCATTAGTTGTCTGGATTTTGCAGATGTAGAGAATATACTGAATACCTCTCACCCCCCCTCCCAATCTTGACCTCTTCTTCCTTTAAATAGAATTTCTAGTTTTTAGTGCTAACTGTGCTATATGAATCATAATCTGTTAGGATAAAGTCATTTATAGATGAGGCTTACTGATATCATACTCATTCCTAAGTAAAAATGGGGCTCAACATTATGGTCTCTTTTGCAGGCAGCAAGTTTGAGGATTGCAGAGCAGTACATTAAAGCCTTCAGTAATATCGCGAAGGAGGTAAAGGGGAGATCTCAGACTTGTGTGGCTGAGTATTAATGTTGTCAATGATTTTTCACTCTATCTCTATCACCCTGCTTGAATTTTCCCTTTCTGCTCATTTGTTAGGGTACAACAATGTTACTCCCTAGTTCTGCTGCAAACCCTGCCAACATGATCGCCCAAACTCTCACCATGTACAAAAGCCTGGTCCGCGATGTTTCTACCAATGGTTCTCATGTGAGCAGTTCCCCTGAGATATCCGGAAACACAAAGCATGCTCCTTCTGGAGACACTGAAGGTGAAATCCTGAATACCAGAGCTGTGGAAGTAAGGGACTCAAGTCATGTTGATCAATCAGGCTTTTCACTTCAGAGCTCCAAGAAGGAATAGAAGTGGTAACTACCAAAGTTCCCTTTGCCTGAAAACTAGATTTTGTTTCTGGGTTCTGGTATTCAGACTCCTTTGATGCTTATTAAAATGTTGTGAAAATTCCCAAAAGAAAGGCAAGGATTTAGGGGATTTTTAGAATTTGATAAAAAGGGTTTTCATTCATTTGGTAAGAGTGTAGAACTGCCATGTAGTATTGGCCAGAATCTTTTACAGCCTCAAGAATCCAACATATTTTCAGGAAAAAAAACTTCATCTGTAAGTCTAAATTAAACACAACTTGATCACTCTATTTCTTGTAACTTCCCTTCAAATACTATGATAATGCCAAGGTCAAAGCACACAGTTTCCCTATTTTAATCAATCTTGCTTGCTATAAAACTAGGGTTGTAGGCCTGTAAATGAATCGAACGCACATGAACGGAGGTATGTTCATGTTCGTTCATTTAATAAATAAACGAACATAAACGAACAAATTTTTTTTTGTTCATGTTCGTTCATTAAGGAATATAGATTGTTCATGTTTGTTAATGTTCGTTCATTTAAATGATAAACAAACGTAAACGAACACAAACGAACGGACATAAACAAACATAATAAACGAATAACACAAACACAAAAAACAAACTTATTCGAACACAACAAATGAATGTAAAAAAAAGTAAACAACAAGAATAACAACTCAAAATTCATTAATATAACCTGCAACTTTAGAGTTAATTTGTTCGAATACGACAAAAACATACATAAATCATAAATAATCTATATGAACATAATAAAGTCTTAAAGTTAATTTGTTCAATAAAACAATCTTCTTGAAATCCAAACAACTTCAATAATATTCGTAACATATTCAACTTGCCCTCTGTTCGAACATAAATGGACATAAATGAACGAACATAAATGAACGAACATAAACGAACATATAATCGAACGTTCACGAACGTAAATGAACGAACGAGCCTTTTGTTCGTGTTCTTCCATTTAATTAAACAAGTACAAAATCTTGTTCATATTCGTTCATTTAATTAAACGAACACAAAATCTTGTTCATGTTCGTTCATTTAATAAATAAACGAACATAAACGAACTTCCCGCAGCACTGTTCATGAACGGTTCACTGAACGTTCAGTTCATTTACAAGCCTATAGGTTGTT